GGGGCGCGCGGCGCGGGCGTGGCGATGTCTGCGGGCCCGCGGCGGCCGCTCGTGCACCGTCTGCTTCTGCTGCTCCTGCTGCTCCCGGGCGCGTGCGGCCACGGAGAGACGCAGGGCCCCGGAGAGCGCGCCCCCGAGCCCGGCGCGGCCTGGCCAGACCTCCAGGACCTAGAGGAGGGGCTGAAGGCGGTCGCTACCGTGTCCAGGCGGTACTGGACGCTCTTCAGCTGCCAAGTGTGGCCCGAGGACTGCGAGGAGGACGGAGAAGGCGCTGCGGAGCCCCTAGGTAAGACCACCAGCCTCGGCCTGCCCTGGAGCTCCCGAGGGAGGGGCGAGGACGTTGTGCAGAAGCCAAGTTCAATATGGGTCCCGCCCTGAGCCTTCCTAATCTGGATCACCAGGCTAACTCTATCAGCCAGCATTACTATCCGTTTATGGGCTGGGCAGCCTACACAGGCTTCTCCCTCATCTCCCTTAGAGATGTGACCTGACCTGGCTGCTCCCCTCACCTTATGTCCAGCTTCCTGTGCAGTCTCCCAACTCACCCTGCCACTATTCCAGTGGGCAGTTGTCTCCCACCTTAGGCTTTCTAGAAAGCCCTATATGGACACACTCGGTAACTGTCTCCCTTCCCCCAAAGCCCTTTCCTTCTATCCTGAGAACATGCAGTGGGCAGAACCTGGGGTGAAGGTCGAAGACCTGAGTTCTGATTCTGTCACTGACAAGTTGTATGTCATCTACAAGGTGGGAGTCACTGACATGTGTGCCACTGACAGATTGTCATGTCACTGCTGTGGACCTCGGTGCTTCTTCCAGTCTTTGTCAGTAATTCTAAGAACAAGCAAGTGCTATAAACAGCTTCCAGTTAAATAGATTTCTAGTTTCCATAGAATGGCTTCTTGCCAATGCTGAATATATTCAAATTCCAATTGATGACAATTAAAAAAAAATAACAGGCTCCTGGAGTTGGCTGCAATCAGCTTGTCATGTAATCCAAAGTACATTGGAAGAATAATTGTCAACCCTTGCATGTCGCCACACGAGACCATGAGCTCCTTCTAGGCAGGGGCTGGGTTTCTTAACAATTCTGGCCCTCAGTACATGAGGCATATTTTGTTGAATAAATTGAAACTTGGCTGCAATTGCGACTATATCAAGACCATTCATTTCCTTAAAACTAGATGTGCCCACTCTGGCCCATGCCCTGGCATGACACAGGGGGAATAGTGAGGGGTGGGTCTGGAGGGAGGATGGAGCACAGAGGGTAGGAAGAGGAATCTGTCAGGTCTGTGACAGTTGCACAAGTTCTGTGGAGAGGAAGTGCTCTGGTGGAGGAAGCCCCTATCTCACCGCTGCTCCTTTTCCAGGCTGGAACCTTACCCAGTTGAGCCAGCAGTACCTGGACATCCTGACCACGTGGTACTGCAGCTTACAGGACTGCTGTGACAGCAGGGACTGCAGGATCTCCAACAACTTCACAGGTGGGATCCCACATAGCCCAAAGGGGCTATTGATCTATGCCAGGATTGGGGTGGGAAGGGGGGACAGTGGGTGTCACGGACCAGCCATCATTCTGCCTGGCCTCTCTTCAGCAGGGACTATGTCCCTAAGATAAAAGTCAGGGCTACAGTTATGTGACGATCTGCTTTGGACAAGACCTTGAACTACTAGGTTTCCCAGAATTGTCACCATCAGGCAGCGATTGGAAGTGGTGTCATTAGTAGATGTTGCATCTCTCTCTCTCTGAGAGAGCTATGGTTGCTTCTTGAGTAAGGAGTTAATACGCTGCCAGTCCAAAGGCCAACGGTTTGAATCCACTGGCTGCTCTGAGGGAGATAGATGTACCATCACCTTCCACTTGATTTATGTTGTTGTTGTTATTATGTGCCATCGAGTCGTTTCCAACTCATAGCGACCCTATGCACAACAGCTCTAAACTGTGCTCTATCCTGCGCCAACTGCACCGCCTCTGACACACCCATCCTGATTACCCTAGTCACCGAATCAATCCATCTCATAGAGGGTCTT